TCTTCTTAGGGTATGCTCCATCCAAAATTGACTGCCTGTATTATACTGAAAATCCGAGTGAGAATCTATAATGCACGTAACGTAAACTGTATTTTCATCACTGGCTGTTGACTGTAAACTTGGAACACAGCCACAGTACATACTGTGACATGACTTTGATGCACTTCCCCTTCCCTTGATCCCTCACACACCCACCACCCATCATACACATATATATATATCTCTCATCATCACATATGCACGTACGCACTAACCACAATGGATTAGAATCCATCATCAAGCTATTGGCTGCGTTCAGTAAACTCAACTTAGCGTTCGCTGCCATTGATGTATTCTTCTAGATCTAAAATCTAATTGGATGACTTAAAAGAATACACCAATAAGAGCGAGCGCTCACTCAACTGTTGAATCTACGCAAATATGGACGGGATCCGATAACACCCGTCATTAATTGGCCAATTTAAAATAAAATATTCTCATTGGTAAAGTAGTGAAAAATTACTAGGCACCGGCCAATTAGTGGATGTGTGCTATCGCACTGTGCACTAACGGGATCCTCTCCGCAAATACGCTCGCCCACTCGAACTATGAGGATGCAGAGATCCACTCGATTTATCCGTGAAAATCCACAGGACGAAAACATCACAGTGGATAGTCCAATATATACGAAATGGGTAATGTTCTTTACAGAATAAATTAATTAGTAGGGAACACTTACACTATAGGCAAACAAATCTTACAATTCTTCTACAAGATTATACAAGAACTTCTATTTAGTAAACATATCTACATATTTTTACATTACAAAATAATAAAATTAGAAACAAAATCGTTTAACATATGTGAGAACATCATCTAAATTCTAAATACATTACAAACACATTCCAAATGCATGTGAACCAAATTCTTACATAAATATATAATCTTAAACACAAAATGTAAATTTAATTATAATATATAACACACATTTTTCTTTCATATTTTATCTATTCAAGCCGATCGGTGTTATCTTATATCTTGAACTGTCTTGAATGCTTACTTTATTTTATCTAATTACTGGCACGATATCTTTTATCTTCTCTTCTCAATCTTTTCTTTCTTTTGTTTTTCTCTACAATAAAACACATAAAGATGTATTGTTACTATTTTCTTCGGATTACATTCCATAACTTCATCTGTTTCATTCAATATTGATTTTTTATTTAATATTACTTGATATTAATTTTCATTTCGTTATTTTCCTGAAACAAAAGAGTTTTTTAATAATAAAAAAGTTATATAATACATTTTGTTGAAAAAACCATTTAATTTAATTGTGATGAAAGAAATGTTTACCATAAATGTAAGGAAATTATGATTGGTTTCATTCTTATTAATGGTCTCCAAATATTTTTTTCTTGTATCAAGAACTACCTCAAATTGTCTTTTATATTTTCTTGCTAATTCCAAGGCTCTAATTAAAGATATTAAGAGATATTATAAATTAGTTTCTTTTAATAAATGTAAAAAATAGAAAAATATACTACGAGTAACAATACTTAGCATCTAATAAGTATTAACCCCGCAAACACAACAGAGTAATAAGCCTTAAGCCTTAAGAAATTGATCAATGACAGATGAATGTGAGACGAATAATCGACTGTGATTGATAATTTTCTTAAGGCTTACTCTATTATGTTTGCGGAGTAAGGTAATCCTATATGACCTAGAGTGCTTAATACATTATGTTTACAGGGCATTATATGGTGAATTTAAGAGCATTTATAAGCTGTGCAGATTATTCGTATGATTTGATTGCATCAGTTTATTACTCAATTTGTTTATTTGTCAATCAATTATGGATATTGAAATCTGCTATGTTTTACATAGGTTCACTTATTGGTCATGGCTGAGGCATTGCCTCGGAGGCAATTATATAATCCTACCTCATGCAACATGTCGACATTCATCGAAAAATGTGCGTATATTAAACGATTTGTCAATCGCCCTCACTATAAATGATTCGAGATTTTCTTTACGCGTAAACTTTTTCCACGTTTAGTTCTTTACCGTACAGTTGAACTGTTCGTCGACCGACTTCATTACGAAGATACATCGAATAATAATTGATGTCATGTTTCTTCAAGACGTTTAATATACAATATATTCGACAGTGGTTCGATAAACGTTCGATAAATGTTCGATAGTGGTTAAAAGTGGCTCAATAGACATTCGACAGTGGTTCAAAATAGACATTCGACAACAATATTAAAAATGATTTGATAGATGTTCTACAGTGATTCAATAAATGTTTCATAGTGTTTCGAAAATGGTTCGACATATATATTTGACAATGGTTCGATACCCGCAGATAGCCAAATCTGCCAAGATCATATAATACTATTTGTGTGCTATAGTGATCTATTTTTCACATGTATCTATAAAATACACATGTATACATATACACGTGTATTTCCAAAACACGTTTAAAATGATCTCTAATAACTAGCACTATGTGCGCGTACTTGTGAGAGCGTGTGTTTCGGATTGCGTGTTTTATAATTATGTTTCGCTTAACTTTCTAACGTACCTATTCCAATTATAAATTTGAATATTGATATGTATAGCCTCTTTAATGAGACTGCTTTGTAACAGTATACCTTCTGCCATCGATAGATCTCCTGCCAGTAATGCCATTTCTGCATGTCTTTCTGTAGCAGTGGGTAAATTCTGAAAACACAATACAATTTCAATTATTTGAAACTATCTTAACAAATAAGTAAATATAAATAACATAAATACGTAATGTAATTACCTTGATGTACTTAATATAATCTACTTTATCAAATCTATTAATAGCAGCATAAGCTTCTTCCGCAGCATGCAATTCTCTGTTATCAGTTGTCATAACAGCCATGCAAGTCCACAATATCTCATTCTGACAACATAAAATACAAAATAATTACATGTTACATGAATTTCTCTAGAGCAAGTGATAAAATTAATATAAAGAGATAACATGGATTAAAAGAGAAACTATATAAAAAATTTTCCACATTATCTTTCTCTTAGTTTTATTAAAATTTTCACAAAATAATAAATATACGTATGTATTTTTTATAAGTTATAATTTAAAAAGTATAAGCTAATAAAAAATTTTTTTTCATACATTTATTTGTACATTTATTTGTGGCATTACAAAAATGCGGAAATAAAGATTACTATTATACAGCACAATTTCCTAGCTCGAAATTGTGAAAATAATATCTTTATTGAGTACGAAATAGGTAAAAAAAAAAAAGAGAACAAACTTAAGATGTCGAAATAAAATTAATTTATTAACAGAGAATTTAATAAATATTATCATTGGTTTTCCAACACCGAGACGAATTGTATAGTCTTTTTTTACATAATATGATTCCTCTAATTATTCTGCATAATA